TTCTTTCGTGGCTATCATCGGCGTCCTGGTCGTCACATGCTCCACTGTCACCTACGGTGTCCCCATCTTCCAATTGAATGTATTTCCCGACTGGGCTGTTCATAATGTCGTCAATGCAACCACTGCTCTGGTCAACACGACCACTCCCCACCCCTAGTTTGTAGTAGTCTTGACTACCACTTTTTGTGTGCCCCTTCCCCTGCCTCTAGGGTAGTAAAGGTCTATCCTTTTTGATGTTACCTCTGTTCCCGGTAGTTTTCCATTTCGAATATGAGTCACCAGTACGCTCAGTTCCGTTCCTTTCCTTCTATCATTGTTAGCATTCAATGTGGGCTTTCTTTGTACCCTTGAAAGTGGTGCCTCTACGTTTGATTGTCATTTTTGTCATTTATGTGCACGAGCTCTTTAAATTGTCTACGAGGTGTTATTGTGTGTGTATATTTTTCAGGAGAGGACGATAAGTGTATTTGTACTAGTTATATTAAATTTCCATTTTTATGCCATTATGGATGAAGGGTTTTTTTCTCTGGGTTTTTTATATTTTTCATTGGCATTCATATCGTGATTCAGATTGACTGCTTTTGCTTGGTTGTAAGGGAACCACGAATTCTCTTGTGACTTGGCCGGAAGGTTTTTGGCACTGGAGTCCCGGGAGCAACACCGGTGTGCACTCCGCGCGCTGATGTGTTGCCTGTGTGATGAAATCGATCGAAACCTTGAGTCGATCGATAAGGGCTGCAGAGTGGTGTTCACGTAGGTTTGCCATCAGCTTCTCGTGGAGGTAAAATCCACCAGTTTTGTTCTTTTTTCCTACAAAATCACCGACCGCTACTTACCACTCAAATGTTGCCCAAGGGGAGGCTTTTAGTGGTTCCGGCATTGCAACAGCGGCCTAGACACCGTACTGGAATTATCTGTAGGTAATCGCGTCAGTAGGTGCACGTGATGGAAGTTTCGTTTGTTTGACAAAGTCAAACTATGCAACACATAAGCCTCTTAGCCTGCCAACGGTTTGAGTGCTTCGTCTAAGGGATTACGCTAAAAAGGGCACATAGAAGTTGTCTATTTAAAAAATCTTTGAGCTTGGAAAGATAAGAAAGAAGTGATTCCACAACCTTAACTTATCGTATACGTTTATTATCGTGACTTGGCTGGTTGTCTTGGCTGTAGCTAGTGTTAATGCTATCCACGACTGCGGCTGAGAGTGGGAGCAGAACTTCCGAATGATTTTTACCAGCCTTTCAAAGTATTTTCATCCAATGTTTGTAAATTTCCACTAATTCTTGTGGAAGTGGCTCATGAGCCAAACACTTGCGTTCAGCCTGAGCGAGCAACATCGCATAGTCATTTATGCTCCCACGATTTCCGCTTTCTACTGTTCGTGGAACATTTAGCAACCTGGCAATCATAGGTTTGTACAAAGTCCGTCAATTAGAATAGAGACGTTGAGAGTTTTGGCGCATTTTGCAATTGTAATTGTTGGTCCTTACATTCCACTTTAAAGCTGTATGTCCATTTTTTAAGTTCTAGTATCTCTTCCATTCGTTGGAAGCAAGCTCATAATGGCAATTATTCGGGGTACAATTGCTACCTCCCGATTTAATGGCTGCAAGTCTCCTACCGGATCGAAAGCAAAGTTTAGTCTAACCTTATAGATTACTTTCATTGCCTAAAGATACCGAACTTGTTTGCTCTTTTTCGGGATAACTGCTCTATAACGAAATTTCCAATCTATTTTGTCTGGAGTTTGGCCTACGATTCGCCATTTTTTGACCTTCTACCATAGATCGTTGTTGTGGAAATAACAGCCAGTAAAAGTAAATTAGACGTTAGGTGTATCAAGATATTCCATTTTAAGTGGAACAAATTCACCGACTGAGAAGTTGTGAAAACCTACATTTCCCGAAGCCTAGCTGCTGCATCACTAAATCGAGTCCTGTCAATCCGATGACTGCAGTTCCACTCTTCACAGCTTCGTCCACAAGACCTTCTTTCATGGCAACACCATTAAACTACAAGCACGCTGGTTTTAAAATTTGGTATTGTTATCCTTTCTGAAAACCTAACAACGATTAGGAATTCCTTAGGAAGATTCATAATCCTATTTGAACTGTCGGGGATCAAAGCAATATTATTGAACACTACCATGGCAACAAATATTCCATTTTCCTTCCAAAAGTTTATCTTTCCGTTATACATAGGCCATTTCCAGATCCTTTGGAGGGAAAATTGCCTTCTTCATCAGCATATCAGTATTCTGATGCAGCTATTCGCTTGTATGTCATTTCTTTCACCGTGAAAAAAATAGTTTGATTTGTAGCCATCGCGACAACGACCCGTTGATATCTTGCTATCATACAATTACGGATTGACCTTGGGTGTAATGTTGCCCCCCCCCCCCCACCCACTCTTGTTCCTATGGCCAACTAATGCACCTTCTATAACACTGATGTCCTAATGTCAAGCTTGGAGGTCGCTGAAATCTGGTGATTTCAATGTGGATTTCTATATGAAACTATGGCTGTTAGACGTCATGTTTTTTAAAGATGCAAAACGCCGTTTAGAGACGTGTTGTTCTCGACAATTCCCTCCATCTCTTGGGCCGCGCGGCCCGATTTCGGGATATCGCCAACTCGCCGTCGCAAGTAGCTTGTGGAAGCTGTCACAGCACACATCATGCAAAGTATGGCCACCCCAGACCTCCTGCGCCCCAACACCACTATTGGTTTTGCCGAAAACCCACGCCATTTCAAGCGTTGAGAGTGGAGATTACGCCGATAACAGAAGTACGGCGGTCGAATGACGCGATTGTAGAGGGACTTCAGGAACTTGGATGTTGAAGCACTCCCGGCTTGGGTCCTGCATTTACTAGTGACTGCATGTCCACTGGCCTTGACACTCCAACAAACGTATTTCGTTCGGTTATAATCGTCCTGAAATTTGGCTTGAGATAAATGGACTAAAATCTCATGAGGACGTTTTCTTTGGGTAGAGAACAGGAATGTCCTTCGATACATAGACCTCCTTAAACTGATCCCAAAGAGGAAAGTGTATGATGTTTTTGGGAATAAAGTAAAAAAATAAGAGGTAGGAAAGCTGATTTGTTAGTCCTCATAATTTCTACACCTGAATCATTTTCTAAGGGTGCTTTAGAACAATTCCAACCGTGATCTTTCCATTAAGTATTTCAACTTTTTTAAATGCTGTAATAGCAAGGCTGGCTTAGGCAGCTGATTGATATTAGCTCTACTAAGATATTGTTATTGCATGGACCTTACCAATCTCTCATGATATGGCGCCCTACATACGCAATTCACCCATTTCTTGTTTTTGCCATATGCCCTAAGTAATATTGTCATTACTAATGTGAGTCGGCATCTGCTTTGGTCAGGCACCATTTTATCGATCGGAATAAATACGTCACAGTGGATGAGTCATCAGCCTGTATCGATCGCCCTCTCGAGCTAACGGATGGCTCATCAGCAAGGAGCCTGGCATTTATTCTCCCACGGTTTTTTGGAGAGCCAAGAGTGGAAGGCTGGTCATCTCCAATCCCTTCAGGCTGCAATCCAGGTGACAGGGCCATTCCGTAGGTACACCTGATTCCCTCCTCTGCCTACTTTTCTGCGCCACTAGTGAACTCACAGCTTTCCCCATCGCTAGTTTACCACTATCACACAAAATCTGCTGCCTCGGTTGCTAAATTTTGGTCTATAGAACACACCACCTTATTAGAGGGCAGGTTTTCTCTTAAGTTTTGGTACTTTTGTTGATAAACGTCTCAAAGTTTTGCTGCCTTACTTTTTTTCAGACCACTTTATACACTTTGGATGCTGTTCTTCCTTTATAGGCTGCGAGATCTTGCCCTCGCTTTTTTAGTGATGGATTTTGTTCCTCATAATTAATCACTGTAAATTTAAGCAGACCTCTAGTATTCTGGTAATTAGGGTAGAACAAAAATACATCTGCAGGGCTTTTTCATTTTCAAACTAGCTTTTAGATCAGGAGTTAGAGTCAAAATCCGTTAAAACTGAATAAGTCTGCATATTTTATTTTTTAATGCTTAAAAAATCCTTGACAATCTTGATCCATCTTTTGTGTTTAAAGCTTGGGACAGTGAGAAAATTACGGGGCCTTCAAGCCTTCCGATGTTAGCCCTAATAAATCAAGTTATTAGTTTAGAATGGAAATCTACTTAGAGTTGAAGATCTTAAAAGAAAGAGTATTTTGGACTAGAAATATCATCTTTTAATTTCATAAATGCTAGTTTTCTCAATGATGTCGCAGCTCTGTGTTATGCTCAAAATTGGTATAATTTAGGGAAATTCAGAACCAGTGGTTTTTTTGGGGGAGTACTTACCAGAACTGAAGGATCTTTCGCTAATTCTTCTGCTCACCACGGCCATAGTGATCTCTTTTGCTGTCAACAATGGCATCGTAAAAATGTCATGTCTCCCACAATCTTTAGTTGTATATGCCACTTATCAAATCTCTCCTATCCAAGACAATCACCTCCACCTCTACCTACCCGTGACCACAGCAGTCAATCAGGTTTTTCTCCCACTGGCTGGAATTCCATCCGACACCGCGGTGTATATTTTTGAGAACGCGCTGGAATGGCAGATGGGGATTCACTCTGTCTAATCTCCGCAAATGATTTAGAGCTTCTCTAAATATGACACGCGGCTGCCATTGGAATGCTGATTGTCACACCTAAGGCTATCATTTTGGTGCACCGAGTTTTGATCTAAATAAATTTTCCAAATCGACGAAAAGTTAAATTTTTAAACATACTGTAAATGTGATACCTTACGCAGGAAAGAATTTCGTATGGATTTCTTAAACGCCTTGATTAGCCTCTGGTCCCCTACACTTTCCATAAAAACGCCACAAACAACTAGGTATTTTATACTGTTGGATCTTTTGTAATCGTTTCTATTTTTGCATCAGAATTGTCCAAATGTCAATGATCCTCTTAGGTAGTTGTTGCCTTGGCAACGGTTGCGTTTAAGAATTTACCAACGGTGCCATATACAAAGAAAACTTGTCATATTAAATGTTCGATCATGTTAACTTACTCTTGTTAATCATTGTAATGTGCAAATCAGTAGGATTCACGTGACGGAACCAATATACTTAGAGGTAATACTAAATATTTTCGTTCATAGAGGTTCTGGAAGAGGGCCAGTTTGGTGGTATGATCATACTCAACTGCTCCAATCGGTTATTTGCGGGTGTGGGATTGTCGAGGTGCCGAGTGGGCAACCAATTCTCTTCCTTTAATTTGGCGTCATAAATATGCTAGGTTTTTGTCCTTTATCATTTTGGTGATACGGGTTTCATATTGTAATGACATTGCTTCTGAATTACCCCCTTTTGTTTTCCTTTGAGACAATGATAATAGATTTGTTAGTTCTACGCTGTGCTTCATGTTGTGGAGCCAGTTTGACATAGTGTCTCAGAAGTATTTGCTCATATCATGGTCATATTTTGGCGTAATGTGGCTGTCAATGTCATCATTTCCTCCCTCTTCCCCCCCCCCCCAAAAAAAAATAACACAAAACAACGACAGAACCAAATATATTGAGTCTTACTAAATTTTTCATCCCATTTTTAATCCAGTTTCTGGAATAGTTTAATCATTGTTTAAAAAAATCTTGTGGTGTTTACAATAGTAGTAATGGGATGGTACTTTCCTCTTAAATGAAGAAGTGTCGGTAAATGTAGTCTTGACGGAGACAGTCATTAATATAATGTCTCATTCAACTTCCCCAGCTAGTTTTACTGACACCATACTAATTTGTGCATTAATCGATAAACGGTTCCAAATACCAGCAACACAATGACACTTCTTTGTTTCTAGCACAGAGACTCCTCTCCAGTACTGTCAATGCAATACCGAATATTTAAGGTTAGGTGTTTACAAACCAGTTCACAGGGTCAAAGGGCCAGGTGTAAAGCATGTTATCCACGTGCTCATAACGAGGTCAGTGCGAGAAAATATTCGTCGAAAATTGGCACAGCCTTTATAGTGGGAGATTCCAACTCTCTTTTCATTAAAATGAGCTTAATCTTAAAAAATTTTGCTAGTTCGTCTTTTTTCAATCATATTATAGATGATTTTACCCGTCTTTTCTGCGTAAAACAAGTCCTACAAGTATTGGTACACTGGGTAATGGGGTAGGTGTTTTGTAAAGAGATAGCTAGTCCACGTGAAGCAATGGTTAATGGCATTAACTTTAAGTGATGCCTGGTGAGACTGACATTCAGCGATTCGGAGTTAGGTACCATTTACCGCCATTTTCGAGGCACAAATTAAGGTGCAAGTCAATACGTTCTAGTTTCTTATTAACCTTAAAGACGTATTTTTTCTGATAAAACCAATAGCATTAAGCCTTGGGCTCAATGTCACTCAAAAGCTCGTGATTTGTTACGCAGTTCCAGATAAGACGAGGCTTTGCTAACGCACATTATTGTCAGGGTGGCTGGTTCAAATAGCCCCCTTGCCAATTCGTCCCATTGCTTTTCAACTGGAGGAAGTTAATGCTAAAGAGGTAGCAGTAACTAGTTACTTTTGAGATAAATTTTAACTCATCGAGCAACATTTTGTCAAACGATTGTCTAGAAGAATGCTTTCTTATTTGTCGGAACTAACGTTACTCTTTTCCAGTAGCTTTAAGGTGTAGCAGCAAATAAAGTCTGAGTTTGGGATGATTCTTTGTCTTAAGCTAAACTCTTGCTGCATACAGAGGACCTCATTCACCTATCAATCTCCAACTTACCATCATTTTGGGTTTCCCATACGAACCATCACAATTAACTTTTAAACCATTAAATGGCAATTTCCAATGTTATCAACCATTGCACATTGTGGGCTTTCATTAGTCAAATTCTAGTCTGTCAAACCCTACATTCTTCCATTTTCCGTTCTGCCTGTGGTGCACCTTTGAGTTCACAACATAGTTAATTCGTGAATAACAATGTTGACTTTACTGGTAGGTGTTTGTGCAAAAGTACCCCAAAATCGGAGAGGTGATAGTAAAAAATGTCAGTACTTCTTCGTGAAATGGCACTGACACACGACAAAACCTCATCTTTAATTTTCAAAGCAATTCGGAACTGCATCCTTAATCAGGCAAAAATTTGGCCCTTCTAAGAGTAGCTCCATCAATCAAATTTGTTTACTCATCCATCGGTAATGAGAAAGTGCTGTTAGCGAAAAGAAACAATTTTATGCTGTAAAGTATAAGCAACAGATAATTGCCACACACCTCTGGTTCGCCAGGAGCTGCCTAACTGGCACGGAATGAGCACACGAGTGCTAAGATGTTCCGAAACACGTAGAAGTCATTAATTATACCCACACCGCTGATAGAGCGCCAAAACAAACATTATAGAATTTAACCAGGTCAGTTTGGCAGTCAATGTCGACGGCATCGATTTACTCAATCGATACTGTCGCCGAGCTGTGCGCACACACCGAATCAACACGCGCCGAGGCTGCGCGCTCGTCGTGTGCGAAAAAGTCGAGGCCTCCCTGAGCCGTGCCCCCAACGAGGGGCATGCGTCACTGCATCCGTACGGTCCATCGTAGTCACGGCGGCCAGTAATCCCGTTGACAGTGCCCACACTAAGGTGCGCATTTTTAAATTCGACTATCACCAGCACTTGTTTTGACGGATATCTATTCCATTTATTCCTGTACGCCAAAGGATCCTACGGCATAGTTTGAGTTATATTATCTAAAAACATGTTTTACCTTGTTTTTAGCTAAATTGCCTTTTGCCAAGACAGAGGAGTACTATAGAAACAATGAAGTTAAAGTGATGCGCTCGCTCCAAATCTACCATTGTCCAATGAGCAGTTGTTCGACTCTACTGTGTAAAGACCCACCCACGCGCACTTTTTTACTGCTTGCGAGGAAAATTCAACATCTTGCACCACTTTTGCCGTAAATAAAGCCGGCCTTAATCACTCGTTTCCGATTTTTGGACTCAATTTTAATGCAAAACCGCAATATTTATCAAAAGTGAACATAATTATGGATTGCATTTAGAAGGCTTAAACTTGTACAGTAAACAAGCTCTGGCTATCTAAAGGTAGTCTAGCTTTACGCAGCGTAAAAAAATTTACATCATTGCATAAATAAACAGTTGACACTAGGACTTTTGTCATTGATCTTGAATCAACTCGTCTTCCTACTTCTAAAGTTATCTCAATGACGGTTAAGTTCGTCACGCATCCAGAATTAGGGAACTTGGTGAACTTATGAGTTTTGTGAATACGTGCTTTTTGTGTTGATCTAAATGAGGTGGGAATTAGGCTAGTGCCAATTAAGCCCGGTTGATTCAGCACAGGCGTCGGGTGACACTTGTAGGATGTGTGGCTTTGGGAGAAGAACCCTATCGGTGAAAACCGTTCCTCTGAGCCTGAGCGCTTCACCTCACTTAGCACAGATTGATGGTCATGACCGATTCCAAGACAAACAATTCATTTAAATTCATGTATTTACTAAGTCTAAGGGTAGATTGATGTGAGTTTGTAATACTAGCTTTCATGTCCTTACGGAAGTAAAAACTACGATCTTGCTCACAGCGCAATTTGTTATTTTAGGCAAATGCTTTCAGTCCAAAGTTGTTAGCTAGCTTGAAAATCGTAAATGGTATTGAGAAGAAGTCCACCCGCCGGGGGACAAAATTTGGCCATCAATGTTGTGCCATGAAAAAGGTCATACTGTTAGAGGCCATATGACCCCTTTGCGTTGTTTGTTCGCATGTGACCCTAAGCGTTACTACGATCCGGGCTAAGCGCTCACGATAATCCTTTTTTGTGATTCTCGTAAGGTCGACTTCTATCACCACTGCCATTTTTGTTACAGGCATAAGTGATAAAACAAAACAACTTTAGGTAGGAAAAATGGGAAAAAAAACAACTTTTCGGATTTTAACGGCGTCTGATGTCAACTAAATTCGGAAGTAGAAATGTGTAATAGGGAATGATGGCGTGGGCTGCAGTCATGAGCTAATTTGAAAAACACAAACCAAGTTACATGGATGGCTTAACGAAAAAATCAGCAAACTTCGTTTCTACTTTAATGGACTAAAATCTAAGGCGATTTATGCGGCCACAAAAATTTGCTGTTTATGTAAGAACTATTTATCAAGGCTGTTCAACTGGTCCTATGGTATTTTTACAGACGATTTGAACAAGCACTAGATAAAACTTTTTGCCTGACGGGGAATTCACTCTTCCGTAAAATACAATTCTCATGTGGGCAGCCTTGAATCTCCTATTTTTCGCCTATTAGGACATGAATTCCTACCACAGCTTAATAGACTGGTCTATTTATTCTGTAATGTTACCAAAAAAGCATACTGCTGCCAACACTTGGCAGAGGCCAGAAAAACTGGATGACACGCACTAGTGTGTAGGTCGAGACACGTGGGAAAGTTGCAGTGGCCTTGGGCGACCAATAACAGCCAGTCGCATTGTGGATTGCACAACTCACAGGTATATCTTTTTAGGCATTTACCACCAGACCCATGCAATTGTTTTGCCTAGGATGTAAAAGATGAACTATACAGAGAACAACAGGATTCATAAAACCTGAAGCTATACTTTTGTGACAGTTTAACCATTCCCGGATTAATGTTTGCCGATAAGCTTATTTACACTTCGTATTAATTTACCATAAAAATCAGGCATAGTTTACATTAATACCACTGCATTTACATTGGGGTTTAGCCTAAGAAATAGATGCATTGTCGTTAGAAGAGTAGGTGCGAAGTCAGGGATTCATTCGTTCATTTATTTAAATAAAGACGTTTCGTTTTTCAAATTGCAATGTCTACCGATATCTCTGACTTATGTGTTTATTTGTTTATGTTGGCCAAAACTAGTTCATACAACGAGACTAAAGCAAAGCTGCAGACCGTTTTTAGGAAAAAACAAATGAATGCTATTACCATCCCTGATATGATATCCCCTATCAAACCTACATTTAGGTATAAAATCATAAGTACAGCCAATCCCGCAGCCAGAAATGAAAACAGACAGGAGTCACTCTGATCCACAATTGAAGAAAGCAGCTATAGTAGGCACACCTGTCCCACAGCCACGCGGTTATGGATCCCGTCTGCCAACACTTTTCCTTGATTGGTTCGCGTAACGACCTTGACTTCGAAACAACAAGCATGTTCTGTTTATCTAGGAGGCATGCACATACCGAGACTTGCATCAGGCGTTCCGTCCACGTGGCGCTAATAATAGTAGCAGCATTTGCAGGACCTTTTATAGGTGTGGCTCCGTGCCTAATGTTGCTGGAGCAACCAGGCTTGCAGTTCTAGATGTGTCTGCTGCTCCAGACGGCCCATCTCAAGCCAGGGCGAAGTGAGTTTGAAGCACTTTGGTTCGTTGCTTATTCAAGAGAAGAGTCTCATTAATTAACCTTTAGAAGAAGTGTACAGCTGTACAGCAATACCGGACGGCTTGTCGTTCTACTCCGAGTTAATTATAGATGTCGTAATTTTCTGCAAAAATCCAGATTTTCCTACTGAAAGTTTGGACCTCCTAACCTTGCCTGTAGGCAGAAAAAGCAGGATCTGAGATTGTCCTCCGTATATGGCGGAAACTGGGGACACTCCTCCTTTTACTAACTTTGGAAGTGTTTTCCTAAGCTATTTCTGATATCTAGTTTGCGAAAACCTTGATCCTACCCTCAAAGTTTGTTGAATGCTACAAGTCCAGTGATAGTTATGGGCTATCTCAAATGTTAATTCAGGAATTAATGGGGTTTCGCAACAAAATTAGTTAATTTTTGCTTAGTAAGGCCGCTCTTATTAGCTTTGAAGTCGAGCTAATCAGGAAGCGTTCGATACTGCTCCGAAGATTTATGGTAAGCCATTTAGATTAAATTAAATGATACCTGACCTATTGTAATACGATGGTGGTTTATCCCTCGGTATTGGTGAGGCGCCACTTTTAAACTTTTGAATTTGCCTTCTTGTACCATGCTGGGTGGGCTGGCCTTCGGGT